CGCCGCGACTTGTCGCACATTGCCCCGGGCGCGAGGGGGGGAGCGGTTTTTTTTTTTGTTTATTTTTTTTGCGCGCCCGTAAAGCAACCAGCCGCGGGCCGCCACCTGCGCGCGCGACCAACTGCGAAACGAGCGCCGCGTCCCGCCGCGAAATTCCTGCTCTAACGAGGGCGGCGATCGCGAGCGGCGATTAGCGTACACGCCCGGCGTCAATTTATAGGCCGCTCGTCCACCTGCCCCCCCCCCCCGGGCAGGCCAGACGCCTTGCGCCGCCGCCGCGCTCGTCCGACCGCTCGCGTGCGCTGCCCGCCGTCCGCGGGGCGAAATTCCTCATCCTCGTGGGCGGCGGGCGGTGGTGGTGTGGTGGGCGCCGCGCCGCGTCTTGACATTGGAGATAGGGAGAGGGCTGGCACCGGCCCAGCCGCCTCCGCCGCCGCCTACCTACATGTCGGGCGCTTTCGCGCTGCGCCGCGAGTGGCTGGGTCTGGGCAGTGGCTGACGGGCGTCGTCCCGTGCGTGCGTGTTGCAGATGCGCCGCCACTCGTCGTGCTGAGCCGTGGCGGGGGCTGGGGCGGCGCTCGCGCTGCTGGCGCTGGCCGCCCTGGGCGCTGGCGGCAGCTCGCCGGCCGCGCCGCCGCCGGCCCCACGCTCGCCCACCCGCTCTCCAAGCGCTCCTTCTTCGACCTGCAGTGCAAGGGCGTCTACGACAAGAGCATCTTCGCGCGCCTCGACCGCATCTGCGAGGACTGCTACAACCTCTTCCGCGAGCCGCAGCTGCACTCGCTCTGCAGGTGGGTCTGCGCGTTTTCACAACACGCATTACCGATGCTTTCGTAATTTCAAACTTTAAATAACTGCACTAAGACGCAAAATATTTGGCAAATCAACAACTAAATAATAATAATAATAATACAAGAATGAAAAACGTTGTCAATATAGAACTTCCCCATTTTTTTTAAAAAAAGAAGTCTCCAGCTGGGATGTGGCCGCACACTAACGATATCAATACCGTCCTTTTAACTGAATAATGAAGTGAAGGTATGAATATTCTCAGAATACCGCGTTCTTCCTTTCTCTTCACTTTCCCCGGCAGCGCTTTGTACAACGACAGTGCCAGACCACGTTTTTCATGCTTGAACTTAACAACTTAGAGTAGTGAATGTGACGGCGAAGGGAAGGCGGGACGGCGTTGTGCGGCGTGGCGCGCCACGGCCCTGTGCCACGCAGCCGCGCCGCGCAGCACCGCGCCGTCTCCGCTCCCGATGGCCACGCGCGCGCGCTCTAGCGGCGCGCCCGCTCACCAGTCGGGCCTCGCCGCTCGCTGGCTGCCTCTCCCGCGCTGACCGGCGCCGCCGCCGCCGCTGCTTTTTTTGCAGGAAGAACTGCTTCACCACCGACTACTTCAAGGGCTGCCTCGACGTGCTGCTCCTGCAGGACGAGATGGACAAGATCCAGACTTGGATAAAACAGTTACACGGGGCAGACCCGGGGGTCTAGGTACCTCACTTCCCTTTTGTTTTTGGTTTATTCTGTTCCCCTTTTTTTCTTTTATAACCCTACTCTTTTAACAATAAAATTAACATTACAGTTTCAATGCATTTAACTTTAAACTACTTAACCAGTATGTACTAATTTACCCGTTCCTTTAATAAAATACCAATTGCTCATCTTCCAATTGCCCTTCCATTTTCAGATCCTTAGCTAATTTTCCTGCTGTTTTTACCACAAAAATAAGGGCTTAGTGAATATAAATTTTGCTATTTTCAAAACATTCAGTTGAAGCGTAATTGAAATTAAAGTTACTCAAAGATTCAAATTTATATTGTCTCTTTTGAAGTTCTAAAAAAAATTCTGCCTTTATGGGGGGAAAAACAATAACTTCCAGGTGTAATGTTTTAAACATTGAGATCAGCTATTATTTTTTCTAACTTCATAAACTTTGCAGATATTAACACGAAAATTAACTTTTTCTAGCACAACTATGGTACATTTTCAATACCAATTTTTGTGTCTTGTTCTCTCTTGTGAACAAAATTATATTTATTAAGCCCTGAATTAAAATAGAGAAAAAAATAAAATATACACAGAAAAATATTTACATAACTTTTATAAAACATATTGTTTACTACAATGACTTAAGCAATAACTTCATTATAATATAAAATAATGTGTAATCACATAAACAAATCATTACCTACTTAAAATAATAAGTCAACAATTTAAAAGAATTTTGAATTTTGAATTCCACATGTATACTTTTCCCGATGGGGTAATTTTTTCAATTTTTGCTCCAGCAACGTCTCAAGAATTTTGCTGATACCCACATCCATCAACAAACACTCACACACAGGCACAAAACAAAGGTGGAGAAACAGTTCCAGTATTATATTCTAATCTTCTCTGATTTCTTGTTTCAGATCTAAATGTTTCACAAGCCCTTACTTTAAAGGCTGCATAGAAGCTCTACTTTTGAATGAAGATGAAGAAAACCTTACTCAAATGGTTGACTTTATAGGAAAATAATTGTCAGCCTACTATCTAGTCATCAATCAAAATATTCAACCTAAGGCGTCATTATATGAATGTAAACTTACATGAATGAGCAATGTGTCTGAATTGTTAATATCTATTTAGTTTGAAGTATTAATTTATTTTGCTCTCTAATTGTTGTGTGATTTATCTTAATTTAATGCACTCATCTTTATCATGGAATAATTTATCAATGAACTGCATTTTTCCACTGAGTTTCACATGCATGAATTTTGATAAATTCATAAATTATCGATATTGTTTGCAAAGGGACATTCCAGGAACTGCATTTTTGAGGCATATGTTCTCATACCTATTTCAGGTATATGTCCAAAACATTGCAAGTACTGCAATTGTCAATGTTATATGTTTATTTGTTTAAGAAAATATTAGGGCAAGTGACTTAATTACTTGTAGACCAAAATAATAGCAGCTACAAAACAAGTGTTTTGTTGATACACAATAGATCTGAGAAAGTAGATCTGCAAAATAGACCTGCTTTCATTATCCAGCCAATACTATTAACATTTTGCAACAAGAAGAAAATTATTCTTTCAGGAAAAAGCTTGTTAGAAAATTAAATCATTCAAGTAACGTATGTATCATGTCAATAATACTCAAACTAAGCTTATTGACTGGATATATTTATAAATAAAACAGTATTTTCAAAGAAGAAAATAAAAAGTATGATTCTTTAAATAAAGAAATGGCATTCCTGTAACAGTATTTTCACATACAAAGTGTATTCTGCCCATTAGAGTAGTGCAAAGCATACAATGTAGTGCAAAGAATACAATTAGTTTCCTGGTAGTAAAGAAGGCAGCTAAAGATTCATATACTTACAATTTAAATTTTGAATATTCTTCCCAGGAATATTCAAGTTACGGGTTTTATATCTTATTTTAAGAATAGGTTTTTAATATGTTTTGCTCTCTTCCTTTTTCATGCTGTTACTATCATTTTTGTATTTGTTTTTTTAGTCTGAATACATGTTTCTACATTTTATTTATTTTAATTCTTAGATGTGTATGGAAGTGTATGAAAGATTGATAAATTATTAAAAATAATGTATTTTAAAATGTTTGCAAATTACTAATTCTCTTCTCTTTATTCTTAATCCTCATCCTTCCTAAAAAAAACTCCAATAGTTCACAAATAAAATACATATTATACAAATAGAATGCTTACATGTTGGCAAGATTTCAACAGTGCATTTCCTGGTACACTACTTTACTAAGTCACAAAATAAAATTGTTGATACAAATCGTTAGAGGTAAAAAATACTATATTATTTATCTTACATTTCAGAACAGCATTCTTTGCATGCATTTCTTTGTAAATAAGTTCACATGCATTTTAACTTCATTGAAAATGCATTTTAAACATTTTTTAATGACCATCAGGAAGAGTAAAGAAATTGGAGCATGAATGTTGAAATATTCCATTTGGACCAAAATTTTATATACATCCTTTTATAACTGTAGTGCAAATTGTAACATGACCATTTCTTTCAGAAATCAGTTATTTAAATTTTGAGAAAATTATTGACTTCTTCATTGACAATTAAAAATATCAAAAATTTAAATAGCATATATAATTTCAGAATTTTCAAAAATTAATGCAAAATCATTGAATTGATGTAAATAACAAGTATATAATAGGCACAAAATTTGTTGTATTTGTTTGACTTAAGTGGCCATGATTTAAAAACATTTAACACCGTTCTAAGTTTGTGTCATATTGGAAATTTGTCATTATTATTAGAAATGACACCCTAGAAGTAAAGCAAAATACAACTTTAAAAAACAGTAAAATAAAAAATTTGATTTCTTACAACGACATTTTGAAAACATTTTGAACGACATTTTGAAAACATTGGAACACACAACGCAGAGCTTTAGATTTAGCGTCTATGCACAGTGGGTGACGTTACGTTTTATAGTTTTTGTCACTTTGATTGAAAATATAAGTCCAGTTTGGTTTAATATGTTGCTCAAAAAGGTAATAGCAAGGCTGAAACATGGTTGACTTATGCAATCATCTTGACAAATACCTTTCGGGAACTTGATTACGCCTGTTGATATTTCTTTACCCGGGCGGCCTGGGCGGGTGTGTGTTATTCATCTTGGCGTCGATTCGACTTGGGGCATGGGTGTGTGGTGAATAAAACAAGGATTAATTTAACGGTGCACTTGATATAAATCAGCTGTTCATGGATTCATCCAATAGGGAGCTTGAACGTCTCCATTGTGACGTCACTGTAGCGACATATAAGCTCCCAAGCAACAAATGATTCACGTCAAGGGCATGGTTAAATAAATCCTCGTATATTAAAACCCAGTTCCCCGACTGATTGGGTGCATATACGAGTGTGACTGCCAGGGAAAGTAAACACTGCAACGGGTCAAGGAGCAACGAGGGCAGCTACGCGAGCGGCTGCCACTGAACCTCACACGCACGCGCCGTCACAGGTTTTGTATTCGTATTTAGCCATTAACGTTCCCTAAAGGGCAATTGGCCTCGGCGCCCTCGGATGCTGAGGTTTGGTCACCCAACCAGGAACCTCGAATTCGATTAACCTTCACGACTTCACATGTACTGAGATTTATGCAACCCTGTCCCTGGCAGGTATCAGCTGTTGACGGTTTTATCCAATCGGGAGTGTGAACGTCACCATAGTCACGTTCATTCTCCTGACTGGATGAAGCTGTCAACATCTGTTGACATTTCGAAAATCGCAGTATAGTTAACGAATTCGGCTAGCGAGCTAGCGGCGGTCGTGGCCTTTCAGTCGAACCATCACAACATTCGCCTGGATCACCGAGGGGAAACCACGAAATCTCCAGTCGGGATGGCCGCCACGGGGATTGAACCCGGGCCTCCCGAATGCGAAGTCAGAGCGCTACGCCCTGAGCCACCTCGCTCGGTCGTCACGGGTTTACAAGTCACTAATTCATGAGACTTCTCCGCCCTAATCATCTCTAGCGGTCTTACAACCACGGAGATACGAGTAGATACAGTGGCTTCAGTTAGTGTCACCCACCCCCGAAATTATATATTAAAAATGTATGTATAGTTGAAACATTATTTAATAAAAATGCATGTATATTTGCACATGACATTTATTTATAATATATATAAACCGTATGTAATTCAGAATAATTGAAATATAATTTTTACAGTGATTAACTAAACGATTGTATAAAGAGGGATATAACTGCATTAGTGGTATGTTCAAGAAAACGAGCGACAATAGGAGCGAGTTTTCTTATATACAAGGGTGAGTCAACTGAAAACCGTAAAAGTATAATAAAAAATCAAAATGTGGCGCTAGTGTCCTGTAAGTTGATAAGGTTGTTTGTAATAGTGGGTCAGATGTCTCCTAGGAGGCATCATTGTGAAGAAACACAAACTCCGGCACAGGACCAGTGTAAAAATAGCTGCCCCACTAGCAACGTGCTCCAGAGAGGAACGGCGTTCTGGGGTTCGGTTTTTGCGAAGTGAAGGTGTGAAACCTATTGACATTCTTCGATGAATGAAGGTTCAGTATGGTGACGCCTGCTTGTCACTACAGCAAGTGTATGAATGGTGGCGGGAATTCGCAAATGGTGACATCCCTGGCCGGCGCTCCGCGCCCAGGCACATAGCGTTGTGATTCCAGAGACCATTGCAGCCGTTGAAGCAATCGTGATGGACAACCGCCGAGTGACATTAGACAACTTTGCAAAAGCTTTACACGTTAGTCATGGTTCAGCACAGGAATGATGAGCTCCAATTTCTAGAGGTGCATGCCAGATGGGTACCCCGACATCTGACCGACTGACGGAATTGAAACAACAATGCCATCAAAACGAAACGGCTTGGATTGCTATCGGCAAGTGTTCTGCTGCAACACGACAATGCACGGGATCATACGGCTCGTGCAACAGTTGCGACAATAACAGATCAGAGATTTGAAAGCCTCCCACATCCATCTTACTCGCCCTATCTTGCCCCGAGCGATTTCCACGTGTCTGGACCACTCCAAGAAGCAATGGGCGGCAAGAAGTTCCATTCGGATGATGTGGTACTTCTCGCGGTGTACGAGTGGTTGCGCCGTCTCCCAAAAATATTTTTTCTATGAAATTCAGGCACTTCGAAAGCGCTGCCAGATATGCAGTGAGCGTGAGGGAGACTTATGCCGAAAAGTAATCCATTTTGTACCATGTTTGTACAATAAATAATATTTTTAAAAATATTTACGGTTTTCATCCGAGCCATACATTTCATTACGCAGTATTGCTTTTCAAAAATATCTATTTCAGTGGGTCTTGCATTGTTTTCATGTCCACGAAAAATATGCAAATGGAAGGTATTGTACATATTGCGGATAAAATATTAGAAAACGCTGACAAAGTCATGAAAACATTACTTCCCACAAAATGTAGGGACATGCATGAGAGATGATACAACATGTATAAATTTGGGGGGGAACTAGTCACTTCTGACAGTTTGCTATAGCGCAAATTTTAGAACTGGCTATAGTGCACTTTAGAACAACTGACGTTTACTTTTTTGCATTCGTAATTCTAAGACCAAATGTTTTACACGTAAAACATTTAATTTATTCATGTTAAATATTTTATGTTATTTCATAAGTCGGTTAGCTTAACGTTTACTTCTCCAACTTAGTTTTATTCATTCGTTGTTTATATGCAGTGTTGTAAGTACGTATTTTGCGACGTACTTCGTTTTTGCTCATCTTTCATAGCCGACTGAAAATACCTTGGCTACATCTGTGTTATAGCTTCTTAATTAAACGATTTGGCTTCTTTTCTGAATTCCGATTGGCAGGTGTGTAGTTTTAATTGCACGGTTGAATTTTAATTGCACGCGTGGTAGAGATAATCAACGAACTTTCATGGAATTAATGAGCATATTTCGTGAACTAAACGAGAAAATAAATAATATAAAACGAAGTACAACTAATTTAC